TTTGGTTGTGGGCTAATTACTGCCAGGTTGTCATCGAATGAGCATCAAACTGGATGGGCGACTAAAAGCACACGGTTTTCGCTGAAACTGAACAACGTTTGACAGATGGTGTAACAGACACATAATAAATGGAAATCAGACGGTCTAGGTGTGAAGATCGATCAATATCTGTGGATTTGGTGCATTTGCGGGGGGTGGCAGGGCGTTGCGGTACTACAATTCTTACAACTTTCTCGTTTTCAGCAAGTTCATTCTTACTCACACCCTAGTCAGTCTTCAACTTCGAATGTTCTGGATTGAGAACGATCACGTTAAGTGGGTATCCTATGCAGGTGAGAGCTCCTGAGAAAGCAGAACTTGCACCCGAACGCTGTGCATAATGCGCGCAGAAGTGTGGATTCGAGAAAAAACGGTTGAGAGAATTTTTTATATTTATAAACAGAAGCATAGAAAAATGTTAGTGACAAAAAAGCTCTACCTGGTTCTCCATCCTGAATGCTTAGATAGATTGCCACAGCTGAATAACATCCGGTGAGTGCGTCCAGATCCCGGAGGTCGTGAATCAGTATTTCAGGACAGGCTATTGAGAAAACAGCAAAATTTGATCGGGAATGGGGACCGATAGTAGAGATAGATAGATAAGGCAACACATTTACCTGATACAAAATGAACGATTTAGGAACAATCATTATAGTGCTAATCCAACAATGATAGTCCTGAAAAACAACCTAGTGCGTCACTAACCGCGTTCCAATAATCGGAATTTGCACTGATGAAAAAATTTGCTTACTCATGAGCAGTAATTAAGGATTGGCTTGAAAAACTAAACCCGCAAACGTGCATTCGCTAAAATGTTGAATATTACCGCCTACCGAGAAATACTGGAAAAAATTGCACATCACTCCCGAGAGATGTTGCTCAAGCGATGAACCGTATCTGAGAATGACTTCGATACATGAATGTAGACAAATTCAGTAAAAATGGTTCACTGACGTAGTGTGTTGTGACATCATACCGCGACACCCGATAGAATTCCTCCGAACTTTGTGACGCACGCCAGTCGATTCGTCTCTGGCGAGCATAACGCAACCAGGAAGAGGTACTCAAACCAAGCAAAATGAGAATTATGAAACCCGGTTATCTCAATATCTACCAAGAATGGAACGCGCTACTGCCAGGGGAAATTCCGGCGAACTAGTTTAGCCTAACTCATCTGAATCACTGGTATAAATCCTGCGCCCGAACTGCAAGGTTACCAGTCAACAGTGGCGTCTTCCAGGGTGATTAGATCACTTTAAAGAGCAACATTAGTAATCATTTAAATTAGAACCTGTTCGCAGCAATTCCGTCAAATATACCGTGATCTATTACAAAATGCCCGCCGAGTTATGAAGGAAAGTGAAAGGAAACAAAACGCTGCTTTCAGGGAATACACGATGTGATGATGACATCTAGATCCAACATATTTTGAACCAATTAACCATCGAGATATCCAATTACGGTATGGTTTCACGGCTGCGACACCTGACACTTTTAGATCGATAATGCAAAGAAGTTTTCCGTATTTGATGAGGGATGCCATTGAAGCCTTGTTTGAGTCTGGTGGATAGACCGAATGAGCACTGATGGGGTTAGTCGATGTATGAATATTGGCAGTCATCCACTGACGGACAGATCGGCTCTGAAACGAAGTCCGATAACCGAGTGAGAACCGGAGTATACCCTATCCATCAGTTACTTTCCCGTGCTCTTGTCCTAATCTTCGAGGAGGTCGATCGAAGCGACAAGGCCGTCAGGCCGTGATTCGGTCAATAGTTATGATGATATTGACTGCAGTGGATGCTTCCAGTCATTTTGATCGGGTGAAAGCAGATTATCGTTGGTAGAAGATACCATGAAACATGAGTAACAAAAACAGGTCGATTCTTGTTTAACCTACATCACTCGTCTCCTGAACTGCCACACGTAATAAAAAAAAGATAATATTGCAGATGCAGAAGTGCGGAGAGCAAAATCAGACAAAGTTCTTTTTTCCTAACCACCTCCCTTCCCGTCCGCCCGATTTTTGCGATGTTGTGTTTTCAGGAGAGCACAAAAAAAAAAACAATACGTACACTTTCTTGGACATTGTTTTCCGCACAGAATGCACTGCCCGGTCTCAGAATCTTTCACGTGATCTCCCGGACACTGGGGTACACAAGCACTGCGATAAATCGCATTTGAATTCCATCTGGTGACTGAACTGGACTGATTTCTCCCGGTCAATTCTGTTTGCTTACGCGTGACAGATGGGATGAAACGGATTTGGTCAGAAGACTGGTCATCATTGAAGCATTCCTCAAGCGTGACACAACGCCGCCGACGATACTGATGATTTGGGAGGAAACGCGGTAAAAGCGGAAGGAAACACAGTGGCCTGACAGTTATGAGTCAATTTACCGTCAACTGAAGGAGTATGTGACTTGAACGGACAGTACATCATGCTTTTAAGGGCTGTCGTGACAAGCAGTTGGTCATACACATGACTTCGGCAAGGAAGTACTAAACGCTACGAGGAAAAGCCTATCGACGAAAGATTCGAATCCAACGGATAAAAAACAGATTCACCGTCCTGAAGCAGTAGGAAGTCCANCATTTCGAGATAAAGTTGTCATTATCAGGCTAGCAAGAGCAATGGAGCACATTGTTCAGTATCTTCACAGAATTAAATTGTCAATTTGAAAATATTTCTGTATTAAATTCAACGCCACCTTCATTTGCATCTACCGAAGAGAATCACTCCGTCGCCCTGGTGGAAGTTTTGAAACTGCTGAAATCCCTTTGAATTAACATGGCATATGGCTCTGATTCATTGTTTATCGTCCTGTTGAAAGTGTACGCTGAACAACTTGCTTCGCATAGTTCTGAGATGTTCAGTTTGCGCATGCCGCTGGGGAGTATCCCTGATTGGTGCAGAGTTGCCCGGATAGAATTATTCCCTCCGTAAGAACCTTGCAAATACCANCCAACCGACATTGCTTTTTTTTATTTTACTTCCTTTTATTGAATATACAAAGATACAATTTTCAGGAAGGGGGAAGCGGCCAATCAAAGGGCTGCCATACAACACACAAATGGGGAAAATCAGGCGGTGGTGGTGGGATTCGAACACTCGTCCTCCGGGGTGATAATTGGTGACGTTACCACCGGGCCACCAAATTAGCACATAGCACCCAGTGAGTTTTCGAAACAGTGCTTATTAACGAGAGAAACTTTTTATCTGTCGTTCATGATCCCAGTCAATTTGCTCCCAAACGTTCTACTCTTGATACTGTTACTCGCGTTGTTCATTCAGTCATATCCTTATTGGATAAAGGGTCTGACGGGGTCCGTTTAATTTTCCTTGATTATGCCAATGTTTTTGGATCACTTCACGGCGGCATTTTCATGCAGCATTATTCGGATTACGTCCTAGCACCCGATGTGTAGAATGTGGAGGTAATTGACCTATCAAAAATTAGATTTTTATTACATCTCGTTGGCGGTGCCACAGTGATTTATTCCCTGTCACCGAGGTGCTTTGGACCCGGGGAGTGATCTCGACCATCGCCACCCAACTTTGGTGGTAGACAGCTTTGCTGCCTCCCGGTTCTATATCACACCTGAGCTAGCGAGGCGTTATGTGAATCGCCACTCCAAGTCCCGGGGTTAAGGTTGCCGATTACCATCGCTGAACAGTAGCTTGTCGTGACTATGGAGTCCGTCCCGACTGCCGTTTATCACACACCGGTATGTAATAAAAAGATCTACTTGTTTTTCATTTGGGAAAATGTTAATGATTTTTTTTTGTTTAACGTTTTCTTCACAATAACTTGCATAAAGTGCGGAAAATGCACCCCACTGAGTGCATAAAGCTCAACGTGATTTAAATTGTAATAAGGACTGAATATCAGTTTCAAAAGAAAGAACGATAACGCAATATACTGCCCGATTTATGTCCTGGATGATTTCGCTGCATCTCAACATGGTGCACACTGCAGAAAACCTTATGTTTATTGCGGGCTTTAGCATGACAACACACGAAAGCAAAACACATTAAAAAAGGCAAACATAAAAGAACATAATTAGTAAAGGATTGCGATACGCTCGTTTCTTTGAATAGGAGTTGAAAAAAACCGAAGCTGGCGATGCACGAAGCAGCTCATTAGACATTTCGTTGTTGTGATCACAACTGCAATTGGATGCAATAAATTGATAAGAACAAATTACACGGTAAAATAGCGCACCTCCATAGTTCCGTTCGGACATTTGGGCACACATGAGCCTAAATATCGGACATGTCGACAAGCAACGCAGGACTCGGGCCCAAGGCCGAGACATCCACCGACACATTCGGCGTCGCAACATTGAGCCGGATGGGACATGTGACAGGTCAATCCTCGACTGACGCATTCCGGAGAGCAGACTGAATGACAAACCAAACCAGAAAGTATGTTTATCATTGTATATTTTGGAAGCACATGATATGGTGGGGAGACGCCAACACGGAGTTGTTGGAATACACCTGAATAACTTCACATAGGATCACCGTTATCAACCACTTCGTGGTATCATGTTTTAACAAACCATCACCCAAAGCACCTACCTCTACAGTTTAAATCGAAGAAGAAATGAAGTATAGGATATACGACTAAATCTAACAAGTCATACTTTAACCAAATAAGGTACAACAGTGCAAGATAATTCTGCAAGTCCACATATGAAAAATATCACAAAGTGTACGGTGAAACACACACACACACACCAATTTTGTTACCCCAGTTACCGACAATTTTCCCGCGTTTAACTGTTTCACCTACTTCTCAGTTTGTTCTGTATTCGAATCCCCCTGTCCCCTGATATTGTTATTATTGTTGTGATGTAGCCAGTATGCTTCCATATAATCCGGTGTGAAATATATATATCGATATATGTCTTGTGAAGTATTGCTCAAAAATCATCAGGTCACGCTTGTTGCGGTAAGTAGCATCCAACCCACTAACAAAACATCGAATCATAGTAGTGACTCTTCAATGGACTGGCTCTGAAAGAGCTGTCCATACAATAGTCACCGGGTATGGCAAACAAGGTTGTGACGAAAATACACGTCCTGGATGCAAGTGTATGAATGAACTTGCAAAAGATTTCCGGATACGCATGCCTGACGAACGGCAAGAACGGTGAAACCGGTTGTGTGCTTCCAGGGAAATTTTGTCCAGTCATCCACATGCTACTTATTGTGATATCTATGTATATAAGTCCTTTGTATCTGACTCACAGTTACTTGTGAGTAGTGTGTGGGATAATTGATATTGATTGATTTGTCGGGCAAAATGATAAGTAGGGGAGAGAGCGCAACGTTGTGAACAAGGACAGATAGGGATGGTGTTCGTCATGCATTATTTCCGTGAGACATTGCGCGAACAGAGTTCAAACTACGGGACCTTTTAAGCGATATGGCATATGATAGAAAGAATGACTTGCATTTTTGGGGAGGAAGTTTACGGGACTGAACATGCATTATTCAATGCGGGTCAGCGTCAGTATAAATGCTGAATAATAGCTTATTCGCTTTATTCCTTAGTATATTTTGTTAACGTGAAGTCATATTTTATTGGTTAAATTTCTGTTCTCTGTTGACCAATGTATACCAACCTCAATTCCCTTCAGTTCTCTGGATTGATGCGTTCTCCCTTTTTGATTCAATCAACTAATCAACCAACCAACCAATTAATTAATCGATCAAGCTAACCAGTCATTCAACAAGGTGGTTTGTGATCTGCAGATCTGACTATTTGTTGAATGGTGACTTTTAATTTTTGTTTCAATTGTGTATGGAACCACTTTTCTATCAAGCTAATAAGCGAGGATGACTGAGTTTCATCCGTAAATGCTCAAGTTCAAGATTCAGGAATCAGTCATTAGGTAAAATAACTGAGCCCTGCGAAAGACAGGAGATGAGGTTGTGAGGGATTGGCTGAAGGTGGTTATTAGATCAACAAACAAAGCGAATAAGAAAGTGGCTCATCAAACAATATCAACATACGAAACTGGAAAAATTTAT